CCCGCCGGGGCCGCTGCGGCGGGCAGCGGGGGGTCACGAGCAGCATCGGCGGCTCAGTCGCAGGGCTCGGTCGCGCCGCTGTGTAACAGGCTCGCGGCCGTTCCTTCCAACACGTTCAAGGGGTGCATGGATCAGAGGGAATAGCCAGCATCCTCCCCTGCAGCCACTCTCGGCTCACTCGGCCCCGGGCGCCAAATCACATGACTCTGCCGGCCAGGTGCGCGGCAGCGGGCGTCCCCCACAGCTGCGCGGTTCACTGATGCAGCACCCCGCCTGCACTGGATTCAGCGCCGCGCAAGCCGGCGTGCGGCATGCCCACGACCACTCTATGGAGCCCTTGATCCCTCGAATAATCATCAGTGGCTGCTCTAGATGACTGAACTTGCTGACGGGGGGCAACACAAGGTGGAAGCCGGTGTGCGCACAAATCCACTTTACCAAGCATTGGCAGTTTGAACAGGACCCGCATCAGCATCAGCATCAGCTCCAGCAGCAGCAGCGGCGGCCAAAAGAAGAGGGGTGAAAGCGTCAGCCCTCCAAACCCAGGAACCTGAAGGCACGCGCCGCGCCCGGCTCGCCGCTAACAAGCGCCCCCGCGGCCGCCGCCGCGCGCCGCAGCGCCGCCCCTGCCGCGCCGCACGCGCCGCACGTACACACCCCGACCTCGAGCCCGACGCATTGCCCCGCCTGCGCCGCCCGGCGCCGCCGCGCGCCCACGAGCCGCTTGACGTCGCCGGCCGCCCAGTCCGCCGCCGCCGCCACGCGGCGCAGCGCCTCTGGCCCCACCCTTGCTTCGTTGGTGCGCAGCAGCGCCAGCCCCACGCAGCAGCACCCCTCTGACGCCCGCCGCGCCGGCTGTCCGCCTGCAACCGCTGCAATCGCTGACTGCAGCTGGCCCGCTGATGTCGTCGGATTCTCGTCATTGGCGGCGACGTTCGCGCCAAACGGCGCCGCTGAAAAGTGCTCTGCAATGAGCCGCAGCACCGCGGGCCGCGACCCTGGCGGGAACAGCAAGAAGAGAACCCCTCCTCCGCAGCTGTCGCCGCGCCCCCGCGCACCGCCAGCTACCGCCACGCAGCTGCCGGCGGCGCCTCCACCCCCGCTGCCCCTGGCGCTTTCCCCGCCGCCGCCGCTGCCGCACGCTGCAGCGCCACCGCTGGGGCCCTGCGGCTGCCCCCTTGTGATGACGACGCTCAGGCTGTCGGGCCCGGAGGGCGCTGCGGCAGCTCCCCTCAGCAGTTCCCGCACCTCCCCAGGCAGCTGCCGCCGGCAACAGTCGCAACCGCAGCTGCCGCCGTAACCTCCCCCAGCGTCGGCCAAGCCGGCCTCGCATCTGCCGTCGCCAGCCCCGCGCGTCCCCTCGCTGCCGCTCATGGAATGGCCGTCACCGCCCGCACCGCCGCCGCTGTGCCCGGCATCACAGCGAGGACACCTGCTGCAGCTGCCACTGCCGCTGCCGCTGCCGCCAGGCGTGCTGCCAAAGAAGAAAGCCCGCAGCTGCGCCTCCCCATCCCCGCGGCTGCATCCCGTGTCGCCGCTGCCGCCCTCTACGAACCAGTTGGTGTTGCCTGCACTGGCGTCGCAACCCAATTCAGGGATCGCTGGAGTGAAGTCGACAGCATCGCTGAAAAAATTTGTGAGCGGCGACAGCTGGCAGGTCTGCATTTGGGCCGCAAGCCCTGAGTAAGGGAATGCAAAGCAGCTGACGGCGATCCCGCGGCTCGACTCCACCGCCGGCCGTGTGCGGCAGAGCAGGGACAGCCGGCAGTCGACGCAGCCGCGGGCGCGGAATTGGTGGCAGGCGGCGGCCAGCCTGCAGCCGCTGCTGTCTCGAAGGTAGACGCTGTGTGGGGTGGTGCGCGCACGACGTTGTTAATTGTTCGGCGCGAGTGACAGTATCTTGTTGTTGAGTAGCCTCTGCTGCCTTGACTGATGGCCCCAACCGGATCTTCGGCGGTTTCAGAAGAAAGAACTGCCAACACAGCGTACGGCAACCCCCACGTCGGCCTTGGCATTGCCCATACTATGGACTGCTATTGTTGTGCTTGGGCGATTTCATTAATGCGCGACGGACTTGCCACTTGTGCGTCACGCAGACAGCCCTATATGCAAGGGGCCTGCGGCCGCGCACCTGCTTTCAGTGGGCCCCAGGAAGATGCGGCAGTCGTGGCAGTCGTCGATTGTGACCATGGCGCACGCATCCATCACATACAGCGAGCAGCCCTGAGAGCGCGTATGTGGTGATGCATGTGGACATGTGGCTTATGTGGGGGGCAGGAGGGGGGAGCCTCGACTGCATGCAATGTGAGCGCTTGCGCGAGCGCATATCGCCCTGTGTATAACACCGGCTTTGCATGATCCCTGCAACCTCGGGCCTTCCTCAGCCGCAGTCACCTGGCAGCCGATGATCGTGAACTGCTGGACGTTCACGCTCCTGCAGCAAATGCAGCATGTGTCAGTACGATACGTGTGGGCGTGTCCGGAGGAGGGAGGGTGCACCAACACACGCGCCAAGCGCGACAGCACAGCCACCTGTACATCTGCAGCGGTGGTTTCTTGCACCCAGCAACCCCCTGGCAGCCCCAGCAAACTGCTCCTAGGATGACAGCACTATGCAGGTTTCCGGTTTCCCGGGCGCACCCGGGCAGCTTGACGCACGTCTCTCCGCGAAGGCCCACGAATTCGTAGTCTCGGGGGTCCAGCCGCGCCTTGGCCGCGCTGACGGGCAGCTGAGCTGGCAGCTGCACCAGCACGTCCGCCGCTTCTAGGGCCGCTTGCTGCGTTGCAGACGCTTCCTCTTGCTCCTGGTGAGCGAGATGCAAGTGGTTGGTAGTTCGCCTGCCAGATTAGGTGTTGCGGTGTTGGCAAGGCGCAACGAAGCGGCGAGCGGCACACGGTGCGCGGCCAAGTGTCCAGCCACAACGCCCATTCTGGTGCACCTTGGTGACCGAATAGGAGCTTGCTGGGTTCTTGATGCATCTCAACACGGAAAGCAGGCACCCCATCGCGCTGAGACCCGGTCAAAAAATGTTTTACGGGTGCAGGTCGATTCCGGCGCTCTCAAGGCAACGTTGCTATAAGGCGGACTGAAAGCAATGAATACAATTGTATATCGTGACACGCCGCAGCTCAGCAAGGCAGCTGCCATTATGCATTTGACCCGCTGCACGTACTTCTATGCACACACACAGAGTGCCGCGCCCGCCACGCCACTGCACGCGACGGCGCGCGCTGCTTTGATTTCCCGTTGGAGACGGAGCAGGGCGACGGTGGCGGCCGCGGCGCACGTTCGCGAGGAGTGCGCCTTGCGTGGCACGTGGCACTTGGAGTCGCGTGCGACATGCTCGCGGGACGTTACTTGTGCGAGCAAGTAAAGGGTCGCGGTGTTGCAGAGGCGATGGAGTGGAAGGTCTGCAGTGCAGGTGTTGTGCACGGACCTACCAGCAGAGGTGACAAACAAACCTTGGGAGCCGCATGAGCTGCCGCTAGCAGGGCTTTCACCATGAGCTCCCAAGCACATGAGTGAGGGCTGGCACCTGGCAGCCCCCAAGCCGACTATTCCAGGCAAGCGCCCACCGTCATACCGGCTCAGAGGTGCACTCATGTCATGAGCAGATTTGCACGAGGGCGAGCACGGAGCCATGCATGGCATCAGGGTGGTCAGCGGGTTGACCTTTTTTGCGGTCAACGCACATCCGCCCCGACGTCATGAGAGGTACAAGGCACAAAATTTGTGGCGATGTAGGGCGGTTGTAGAGAACTCCTTTCCATGAGCTGAGGGACGGGCGGCGGTAGGCGGCCCTCACCCTCATGCTGCCAGGTGATGCAAGCTGATGCGAAGCACGGCGCGTTGTGAAGGGTTGACCGCACTTTCAACATACTGCCGCCCTCAGCATATTCCCCTTGCCAATCGCTTAAAGTTCGAGTTTCCCTGGCTTGTTCAGTTATCGCAACACAGACCTCTCTAGACCTTGGCGAAGGACATTTCACACAAGCAAGTCCAGTCACCTGGCAAACTCATCTCGCAGGCCCTGATTGTAGTCGCTAAATATATAATAAATACGACAGATACTACGTCTGCACCTCGAGTCACTTGCGCAGGCTCTGAAAGCCAACCCAGTCAAGTGATGGCAGTGATCACGAACGGCCGCGCGGCCATCTGGCTCGCGGCGGTGTACGCGGCCATCATCATGTCTCTATCAGGTGAGAATGCGTCCTGATACGGTGTATGCCGCACAGCCCAGCTCCAGCTTTCGAAGGGCGCCCTTCTTGAGTCGCCATGCTGTCGTGGTCATCCGCAGCGCGCTCAGCACGGGGCAGGCTCAAGCCTGTGCGTTCATTTGCAGTGAAAACACTGAACATCACGCAAGCACCTCACAACCTCCCACGGAGCCCACCAACGTCCACACCTGGCATACTGCTTGCACCCACCAACCGTCGTCATCACCGACTGTCATCATCCTGCAGCGCAACCCGCCCACTGGCCGCGCACGCCCGACCCCCGCTCACCCGCCCCGCCCCCGCTCGCAACATACCCACAGGCCCAGCAGACGCGGCACGCCTGCTGCGGCAGGACGTGCAGACGGTCGCCTCGAAGGGCGTCAACCCCCTGAGCAGCAAGACGAGCCTGTTTGCCCTGGCCGGAGAGGTGCGCGGGCGCGGGCGTACTGTGTCGCCGGCGCAGGTTTGCTGCTCGTTGCCGCCGCATCTAAGATGATAGAGATCCCCAGCACCGCCTGCAAGCATGTTTCAAGGTCCACGACTGTCTGCCTTGTGCACGGTCCCCTCCACATCCTTTTCCCTGCCCCACCTCTCTTACCCTCCTCCGTTCTCTGCCTTTCACACGCACACACATGCACACGCGTACAGACACGCATTCTCTACCCCCTCTCTCACACTCGCACAAACACCCACAGGCCGAGTCGCGCTCCAACGCCAAGTCCAGCGGCCTCTACTACAACGGCGCCTCCACAGTCCTATACGCCGGAGAACTCTACCCCTCAGCCCGCGACTCCGCCAGCACGCGCAACGGCGAGCAGAGCGGCGGGCGCGGCAGGGCGACTGGCGGGCCGGGGGGCGTGCCCATCAGCACCTTTGGGACCTACGTGAACGCCGTCACGGACACGGGGCGCGCGAGGTGGGTGCGACGGTCGGCGCGTGGTTGGCAAGGGGGTGGGCGAGGTTAGGAGGAGGGGCGGTCTTTGGAGCCGCGCCGGCGTCTGGCTGACGAGCCGATGTGGGCGGCCCTGGTTGGGGCACGCGTGCCGCAGGGCTAATGCGCACCAGCAGCTGCATGGACCAACCGACCCCGCTCAGCATCTTGCTGGCCGAAGCTCGTCTTCCCGGCTGCACGCCGCACCTACCTCTCCAAACTCACCGCGCCGCACCTTGCGCGACCGCTCCCTTGCTCGCGCGCACCCTACCCCCGGTTTTCTAGAGCCGTCTCCGCCTCCGAGGCCATGCCGATCTACACCACCGAGGGCGGCCGCGCGGGCAGCTCCCACGGCGCCACCACGGCCACTTTTGACGTGTCGGAGCTGAGGAGGGGCACCGGCGTTAAGAACAACGTGTTCCTGGACAGGTGGGGCTGGGGCTGTGGCGGCACGTGGGTGGGGCCTCACAGCAGCATGGGGGGTGGGGCTTGCAGCAGCAGAGGGATCACGCCATGCTTGGTTTGTGTGGAGGGGGGGGGACGCGATAAGCAACCCGTTGCATATGCCGGGCCTGTGGGCGTCGCGCGTCTGCTGGTTGCTTGCTGACCAGGTTACTGACAGCCGTCTCGCCACCTCGCACCCCCGACAACCTCCGCAATCTGCGCCGCAGCGCCGCCGTCAACAGCCTGGCGCCGCTGTCGACGTCCATCAGCGCGGCCGGCGGCGGCCCCATGGCCGTCGCCGCGGCGGGCCAGGCGGTCTCTATGGTGGGCGTTTATGCGCGTGCACCAGGCCTGTGCCTGCACCCGCTCGTTTGCACGCCGCCACATCCCCTGCCTGCGTAGGCACGCGCCACATGCTATGTCGCCCCACGACGCTAAACCCTACAAGACCAGTGCTTGGCCCGCCGTTGCGCCCCGTTCGTGCTTGATGCTCACGATGTGTGTCACGCAGGCGAGACGGCTTGATCCCTCACCTGTACCCTCTACCCCCCCCCCCCAACACGCACGCACCAACCCTCAGGCCAACGCCGACCTGCCTGGCAACGACGGCGGCATCGTAGACACCGACACTCAGGAGCTGATTGCGCGCGGCAGGTGATGTGCCCCCAACCAACAGCACATTACAGAGGATGTCTCCAGGTCCAATAATGCCTGATTGAGGTCTGTCGCTACCGCGCACAGGGTCTGCTGCATACACAAGGGGTCAGCCACTGAGATTGCTCAGCATTTGATCTGCAACTCACTGGGGATAGGGCCTCCTATTGAGGGTACATTTGGATTTGATCATGCACAGAAGTCTCCCAGGAGCTCGGCTCAACCCATCTCCCATTCATGGGTGTGAATGCGACGCCCTGGTGCACAGCCTGTTGATAACGCGTGCTGAAGCGCGCAGCTGGAACCCGCTGCGCTTGCTCCTCGCCCCTTACAAGCACAACCCCAAACGCCGCCGTTGCAAAACCACGGCGGCGCACTTTGCCATGCGCAAAGCCCTGCCAGCCTGCATGTTCTTTTGCAGGCGTAATGCCTTTTATGATCGCATATTGCGGATCGGTTCTCCCCATTCGTTGCGAAAACGAGGCACGCGGGGCCTGAAAATAGGCCCGTCTGCACTCCTGCCGTCGCCTTGCATGCTGTCGTGTGGCGGCGACGCCTCCCCAGCATGCGTTTATGAGCTCGTCCCACTACGCACAGGCGCCACGCGAATGAACCCAAAAAGTCCCGAGGCGATGCCGTACGCGGCCGCCTTGTGTTACAGCCTCCTGCTTGGAGCCCCTTGCCTGTATGCTCGCCTGCACGGCAACGCCTGCTGCGTCATGCTCCCGTGCTTTTGGCTGCCCCGCTTTTGTTGATGTCCCTGGTCCTTGCGGTCCCAGTGCACTGGACTGGGTGTGAGCGATATCCGCTGGCGGACGACGCGCTGCCGTCTAAAACATTGAGGCGCGCCGACATGTTGCAGCCTCGCTTGATGGCTCGTAATGTGCCCACCTGATGTAACTACAGTACTGGTCATGCGCACGGGATGACATGAGTGAGTGCCCCACTTATAGTAAGCAGCGCATGGCTGCAGTCAACTGCTGTTACGCGCCCCGCGTGCAAATACGCCAGGTGAGGCTGGCAGCAGCGCTGGCATCCTGCCGTGCTAGATTTGACCTTTGAACAAGGCACGCACCATTCAAGGCCAGTGCTGTGCAAATGCCCGGATCATGGAATTTCGGCTGGACATCAGGCATTGCACAGAATGGCCGCAGTTTGTTGTTAACCCTGTCCAAGGTGCTGGCAGTTTTTGCCTGTTCACTTGAGTTCTGGGTGCCCTCTGGGTGCACTTGAGTTCTGGGTGCCCTGAGGGCACCCAGGACTCAAGTGTACAGGTTTGTTGATAGGCTATCAACAACCTGCAGCTGGGGGGGGGGGGAGGGTGGCAAGCCAGCGCGTTCGCATTAAACCTCGTGCTTGCACCGCGCATCTGACGCCCCTGCAACTTGCTATCCGCTCGAAGCAGCGCTGGCATCTTCGTCAGGACGTGGCCGACTTTGATATCTTTCTTGTTCAATTGGTCGTTTGGTTGCAGATGGAACACATACAGTAGTACCGTCAACTGTCTATCATATAGCTCTGACAGCGATGAGAAAGCTTGAAATAGGGTCCGTGTTATGCGTACCAGGTATTTCCCAAAGGCCACCTCGCTGCAGTCGTTTCATCCGCTGTGGGGCGCAAGGCGCTGGGCGGAAGCTTTGACCAACACCTTGACCGCGACGCCCTGGAAGTCCACTGGCAGTGCCATGGTAGCAGTGTGAAAGCGGCAATGATGCCCGATTAAGCATAGCTGCCCCAGTGAGGCGGCGGCATCGTACTTCTTTGATGCTTGTGCTTCAGTGCAACTCACACACAGCGCCACAAAACCGACGACGCTGGCCTGTCATTGCAAGCTTTTCACCCCCGAGTTTTATCTGTCGAGGCACAGTGGGGGGAGCTGGTGCTGTTATAGACACGCTGTAGAGCGATGGCTCTCCGGCAGGGCGCGTCCAGCTTGCTGCGGCAGCTGGCCGCAGCGCCCCTGGAGAGCAGCCTAAGCACTCAGGCTGTAGAACTACTCGGGTGCGGTGCCGGGCCAGTGGGAGTGGAGGATGTGGGACATCAGCAGCAGCAGCAGGATGTGCTGATCTGATGCACGCGTCCTCCCTTGCACAGGAGCGGGGCTCTCAGCGGTGTTCGTCATGCTTCTTCGCAAGCTGGTGAGCCTGTGATGACCGCATTTGGGTCCCGCTGCCACGGGGTTGCCAGGATGAGGGCTCCTGGACACCGATCTGGGGCTCTGTAACATGCCCTGACGTTGCTGCACCGGCGCGTTGCACCCTTGGCGCCCGCCTGCCGCCCTCCGCAGTCAAGCAGCGCATCCGCGCCATCAAAAACATCGGCAAGATCACCAAGGCCATGAAGATGGTTGCCGCGTCGAAGATGCGCAACGCGCAAGTGGCAGTGGAGAACAGCCGCGGGATCGTCGCGCCCTTTGTGCGGCTGTTCGGCGACTACCCAGGTGCGGCACGACGACGCAGACGCACGTTGCACGCCAGGGGCGGTGCAGCGGTGCAGCGTGATGCGCGCTTCGTGCGCTGCGCATGATCGATGGCTCAGCGGCGCGCGTGGCTTAGTTTGATGGTGTGCACATTTCTCAAGTCGAGTGTATCCACATAGTGCGGCCCAAGAGTTGACACGCTGGCTGTCGCACCATGGCGGGCGCCCTGCTGTTTTTGCAGCCGGGGCGCCAAGAACGAGTCGATGCGCCGAGCCAGCACAGCAGCCGCGCAGGGATGTGTCCTGCAGCGAGACTGCGCACAGCTGTGGCTGTATCCAGAGGCGCAGCGGCTTCTGCCCTTGGTCAGGGCCGCTGTGCCCTCCCCTCGCCTCCTCCAACCCTCCCCCGCCTGGCACCCCGCCGCGCACGCGCACGCGCCCGTTTCGCGCGCGCCGTGCAGCGATCGCGCCCCCCAAGCAGGTGGCCGTCTCGGTCACCAGCGACAAGGGGCTGTGCGGCGGCCTCAACTCCACAATCACCAAGTACACCAAGGTGCTGCTGCAGATGACTCCGCCGGGTGAGGCTGGCCTCGGATCCGTTGAACAAAAGACGACTGAGCGGAACGCGGGACCTGGAAAGCCGGGCGCGCACGCGGCAGCGTGTTGAGGCGGCGGTCGCTCAGCTCTGGGGAGGGCGGCGCAGTGGAGCCGGCGTGGGTGCGACACGCGGGTCGAGGCAGCGCAGCTGGCGGCCGCTTGAGAGTGGCGTGGCGGTCGGCGGCGTGGGGCCAAGGCCCGACACACAGCAGTCCCCTTGGAAACAGAGAGGGGCCGCCGCGGCCGGCAGCGCGACGCTCGGAGGGGCCCCAGCGCCCCAATCCGAGCACGGCCCCGCGGCTGCCTCCGAGGCGCTCCAGCCCCGCCCGCCCGCCGATTAGCGCGCATCGGCAGACGCACCGCACCCCCCCCCTGGCTGCCCCAGAGTCCAAGTCGACCCTCGTCAGCATCGGCGACAAGGGGCGCAGCCAGCTCATCCGCGCGGCGCCAGACGTGCTCACCAGCGTGTTCCAGGACACGTATAAGGTGTGTGTGTGAATGTGTGTGAATGTGTGTGTGAGTGTGTGTGTGTGCGTGCGTGTGTGTGTGCATGTGTGTGTGTGTGTGTGTGCGTGCGTGTGTTGTGTGCGCGCGCGTTTCGTGCGTGCATGTGATTGTGTGTGGGGCCAAGCAGGCACGTGGGGTTGATGCCCAGCAGTGCGCTTGGCTGGGGCTTGAAAACATGTGAGCGCTTTTTTCCATGGCATGGACACCAGATGCTTGGGTGTATGGGCAGCCACACAGCTTTTGGCCAAGAAGGCGGCCGCTGCGACCGCAGTGGGGGTGACAGCGCTGATTGCCCGTGTGTATGAGGAGGGGAGACAACGGGTCAGTGGACTGGCAGGGGGCAGATGGGGCTTTCAGGGCCGTGTTGGGGCTGGAGACGCGGTCGCAGCTGCTGTTATTGAGGGGAGTGCCCCTGAGGGGAGGGGGCCGCAGCGGCTTTGGTGCCGGCCGACCGGGCCGCTGCGTCGGGGTTGTGCTCCCGGGGCTGGCCCCAAGGGCCATCGCAGGAGAGGGTGGGTGGGTGGATGGGTGTTGCACAAACACACGCAGGAGCCCTGACGGGACAGCCGGCCGCGCCCTGCCTGCCTAGAACCCCCTCTGCACGCCCCGCCCCGCTCCACGCCGCCCATGCCCCACCCCAACCCCACCCTCCACCCCCTCTCCCCCAGGTGCGCACCACGTTTGCCCAGGCAAGCCTGATTGCTGAAGAGGTGCTGGCGCAGGAGCCTGACGCCATCAAGGTGCTCTTCAACAAGTTCCACTCCGCCATCAGCTTCAAGCCCACGGTGGGCCGGCGGGGCCGGCGGGCGATGGGCGCACCGCACC